GATTCATCATTGCCGGATATACCGGCGAACACACTACGACAATTCAACCGTGCATCTTACCTGTTAAGGTCATCTTGTTAGATGTTACGCAGAAGGATCTTTCCGTACATTGACATTACTTGCGAAAGGTCGGGATGTGCACGCGTGTATTACTCAAGAAGACCTGCACCGTCTTCCGCCACCACCGCCACCAACTTGTTCCTGTCTTGACCCTATATTAATACAGCACACCCTATGCTACGATGTCTGACGGCAGGAGGCCCTGCTCCGTTCTAAAATCGTCTCTACGCCGCGCTCTCAACTTCGTCGTTTTAACGAAAGAAGCACATGCGCTGTTTGAAATCTACGTACTCTCTTTTCATGTTGTCTCTCTTTCGCTGATGTAACTACCAGTAATATTTCTATTTTCATAAATTCTTTTTTTTATTTCCCGTTTTATATGTATCTTATGTGTAAACATCATTTTCTATTGTGATTAATTGTGATTCAATTGTGAGTAAATAAATTAAATTTTTACAGTATGCGAAAAAAGCTATTACTCGTACTGCATGAATTTTGAATAGAAATACGGAATATATTACATATACAGAAATTACTACCACATGTAAAATAAATACAAAACGCAGACAATAACATAATTATGTATGCAATAATATATATAAATAGTGATACAACGCGGAGTATAATGGAGTACATAATAATACACTTTCTTATTTGAAAACGTATACATAATTTATTAGGAATAAATAATTAACATTTTTTCTCATTATAGATAAAACAGATAACAATAACAAATTTTAATTAAATTACATACGAAGATTGCTATAAATTGCAATTTAATATACAATACTATTTTATTTTAATAATTTTATTTATTATTTCTTTTTAACATAGTTATTTAATATATTTTAATTAATAAGTTATTGAATGTATTACACACACACACACACACACACACACACACACACATCACACACACACACACACACACACACACACACACACACACACACACACC